ACATTTTGTCCGTTCGACGTCTTGGCGATTCGATATTTTGTCCGTTCGATGTTTTGGCTATTTGTCCGTTCGACAGTTTGGCTTTTCGACATTTTGACCTTTCGAAGTTTTGACTATGCGACGTCTTGACTTTTCGACATTTTGTCCATTCGACATTTTGTCCATTCGACAGTTTGGCTTTTCGACATTTTGACCTTTCGAAGTTTTGACTATGCGACGTCTTGACTTTTCGACATTTTGTCCATTCGACATTTTGTCCATTCGACAGTTTGGCTTTTCGATATTTTGTCCATTCGACGTTTTGTCCATTCGACATTTTGTCCTTTCGGGGAAAAGCAGTCGTCTCCATCAATAATAATGTAAGTAATGAATTATGAAGAAAACTTTAATGAAAAAAATATTCATTTCATATTATTTCTTAGTCAAATAAAGACTCATTGCAGTCAAATATTCGAATAAATGGATAAATTAATAACCAAATGAATGATGAATTGATATAAATGAGTATTTATTTGATAAGACTGATTACTATAATAAAGTAAACTCTTATTAGTATGCTACATTTATTTTTGAACCGATTTTATAATTTCCAAGATTCCACTTTATATAATTATTATTCATTTATTATTATCCAAATTTAAACGTTGATGAAATACAGGTATTTACTCAATAACAGTTTCAACCCTGTAAAATGCAGAGAGCATTAATGTTTCTCTCCAAATACCATACTATATGTCCCTACAGGAAAAAATCTCAGCTTTCCTTTAAAAAAAAAAAAAAAAAAAATCGTACCTTTTACCCCGAAAAAGTCAAAAAAAATTTTGAAATTAATTTTTTTTGGTTCAAAAATTTTTTTTTTCAAAAATGCATGTTCTCAATCGAAAGAGCATTAAAAAAGCTATCGAAACTGATGTTGATAAAAATTTTTTTTTTTGATACTCAAGAAAAAAAAATTATTAAAGAAAACGCTACCCATAAACTTCAACCCCCTCCCCCCGAGTAAATATTGGTCCAAATTGAAAAATTTTTTTACGATAAATTACCACCCAATAGAAGTACAAATTACTCCAGTTTGAGCGAAATTGAGACAAAATTTTTTTTTACTTTGATCACTTCACCCGAGATCCCCCATATATGTAAATTTTGAATTTTAAATGTTGCAGTGTTGGGACATCTGGGTCATTGTTTTGTTCATGTGGTCGAGTTTTCCCTTTTGATTTTGGAGAGAATCATTGTCCAGGTTGTGGTGTATCACTTACACCTTTTCCAGTAGTGAAGGAGGAGCTCGATTTGGATTAATGTATAATGCCTCCAATAATATCCTCAATGACACACATATATATTTTATATCGTTATTTCTATTAGGTTATTACACATTATTATTGTTTATAATAAATATTATTACTATTAATATTTCTTTTTGTTAATTAAATAATTATGCTTGTTCAAATTCATATTTACTATGTTTGATGTATCACGTATTATAGTTTATAAGGATTGTTTTTATTTTACTTCATATGATCTATATTAATGTAATTCTTCTTTTTTTTAAAGTTTGTTATAATAAAAGTTTTTATCAATTTGAAATAAAATAAAGTTATATAAATCGATAGTGTAGCAAAATTTGACAAGGTGTATACATATACAGTCATTGCCGACAATATGGCGTGTCGCGGTGTACTCGTATGGTCAGTAATAAAAGGAATACAAAAACCGCTTGCTTATTCCCTATAATTTTTTTTTATTATTATTTTTGATTGTTGAATCATACATTTAAAATTTCATGTAAAAATAGAGTAGATTTAGCGAATGTTTATTAAATAATTTTAGAATTTTGAAAGTATTTTTTTTGTTTGATTGTTTGGCCTTGGTTGTACACATTCATAGATGCAATGTCCACTATACATCACATGGAGTGTTTTCGATATGCATCCTCACAGCATGCTCTGAGGACGAAGGGGTTCTCATTCAATTTTTTTTTTTTGCTTCGTTACTTGCAGCTGTGAAACAAGCTTTAAAAGTTTTAGGTAACTTTGCCTAACCTAACTGATAATTCTTTTTCTTGATGGTTCCTTGGAGCTCACGCACGCACGAGGCAAGTTATGTGCGAATTAATTCAGCATATTGTAATTATTTATTATTTTAATAATTGGCTGCATCGCAATGTCTGTCAACAGTCAACTTTTTAAATTCATTGCTAGATGCTCATTAAACAATAGTTTAATTGAAAACCCTGAAAAGAAGGGCACATTTCTGTGTCAGGTTCTCGATAATAAAGGTAAGTATTGTTTTCTATTTTTACTTTATTTTAAAAGAAAATAGTATAATTAGTTATGTTTTCAATTTATATAAAAATTTATTTTACTAATGATAAGAATGTAAAAATAAAAAATAATTATTTAAAGACTAAAGTTGATTAGCCTATCAATATAACCTCAAAATAAGTTATTTTTAGCAAGAAATAAAACTAATTGTAATAAATTTATCAAATATTAAAAAAACTAGTTGTGCAATTGTAGAAAAAATTATTTTGTGTTAAAACCTTTTAATAATTAATGAACATTCTATATTTTCTAAAAGTTGTCTACGAATCGTAGTTTTTATCAAATTTTTATAAACAATAGCTCATTTTACTCTCTGAAAGGGCCTTTTCAATTCAATTCATTAAATTTTATTAATATAAAAATAATTTATTGGGGTTATGTTAATAAACTGAGTATACTGGAATTTAAATATATTTGTTTGTATTTTTATATAAATAAAACAAAATAGCATGAATAAGTTACGTCAAATTTATTATAAATAAAATTTCAGGCATTGTTCGATATATTTATCTCGCAGAAAAGTATATAGTGCTATTGGAGAATAAAACTGCTTCAATCAACAAAGAGAATAATAATAATAATAATAATTCGACAAGTACGAAATCGTTTTCTTCTGATACTACAAAACCTTCCTCTTCTGCAAGTGCGAAATCTTCTTGTTCTATAAGTGCAAAACCTTCTTCTTCTTCTTCTACAAGTGCAAAATTAAATAACAAAGGTACGTATTAATATAATTTTGTTTAACAATAAAAAATATAATAAATAAGTAAATTCGTATTTTTTCTCTTAAATGCAATACCTGCAGACAATATTTTTTCGTTTTACAACTTCTGTTTTTTATAGTTTATAACAGCCAAATAATTTTGTCAAAAGTACTGCAAAATATAAAAATTGTACAAATGCTACAAAAATTCTAGTTTTCCAAGGTTTCAATTCTCATTTTGACTTTTAGAAATAATCGTTTAATTTTTTCTTAATTGGAAATATCTTTTAACTTTGTGTTAGGGTTAGGGAAAAAAAATAAAATTTTAGTTTTAAATTTTAAATCAAAATCACTTTTGCCTTTTTTGAATTTATAGAAAGTGGTCATTCTAGTATATCAAAATTGTATGGAATTAATATTTTTCTTTTTAAACATTATATCATATGACATTTATAAACGTTAAAAATTAGGTTTTTTGATACTATGACTAAATAGAGTTTTGAGAAAGTAAAGCTTTTATAACATAAATATTTTATTAATTACAATTTATACAATTAAAAATTATAACCCCTTAAAAGTAGGTTATAATAAAATTATAAATAACATACATTGGGTTGAACAATTATTTTTTTATTTTATAATTTTGACATTTTTTTAATGTCAGAAAAAATTCAGAGAAATTGATGAATTGAATTTTGTTTCAATTTTGCACTTTTACTCTCATTACATTTTAAACTAATTAGAAAATATCAATTTAATATCGTTAAAATTAAGTATTGTTTATTTTGTAACCTTTTTTTTACTTATTTTGTAGACGATGATGTTCAATGGTCGAAAGAAATGGCTCAAATTTTAGTCAACTGTTATCGGGAACTTACAAATGACGATCAGAAGAAGGACGTATTTAAGAAAAATGTTTTCAAGGAGGCTGCGAAGAGGATAAATAAATCTGGAAAGTTTCCAACAGTGAATTTTGAAAAATGTTCTTCCAAGTATTCGGGTCTAATGCAGACATACAAGAAACACGTTGATTTGCAAAATCAAAGTGGAGCTGACAGAAGTCATTGGGAGTATTTTGACATGATTCATGAGTACATGCACAAAAAACCTGAAATCAAACCACTTTCAACAGCTTCTAGTTTAAATGGATTCAAATTAAAGAGAAAAAATAAAGTAGATGATGAAGAGGAGGAGGAGGAGGAGGAGAAAAAACCGAAGAAGAAACCTAAGAAGAAAGAGACGAAGAGAGATTCTGAATTGCGAGAAGTGTACGATGCCATGCGAGAAAGAACCAGAGCTCATCAGAGGATTGCCTCCTGTCTGGAAAGGTACTTAAATATACTTGAAAAAGATAAGATAGAAGAGTAACGATAATTTTTAATAGCTGGTTGACTATTGATAAGAAGATTTTTAATATTTTTTAAATATTTTTTGATAGACATTTTCATAAATAATATAATTTAAGTATAATATTCTTATTACGTTTTTTACGACATGTGATCGTGTTAAATCTTACAAGTTAATCGTTTCTAAAATGATTAAAAAAATATTTAAGTATTTGTTGAGTTAAAAATGTTTAAACTTTTTAAACGTTTGTATCTGAAAAAGATTTAACAAACATTGTATATGTATATGGTACAAATAAAAGTTGCAAATAATAAAGTGAAATTTTTATAAGAAATATTCTTTTTTTATTAACAAATCATGTTTTTATAACAGGTCCATATTTCTATTTTTTAATTTTACAATTATTTATGTTTAAAATCATTCTTGAATTACGAAAATTATTGATTAGATTCAAATTAACTGAAAGTTACAACATTTTCATTTAACACTTTGTAGATTCATCAGCTTCACTTTATAAAAATTATTAACTGTTAAGAATAACAATATGAGCGTGGTATGATTTATTTTTCTAAGCAAACAATTTATTTTTAAAACCAATATTGTTATTAAAATTTTATTTTATAAAATTAAAAGTTTCTTTTTGCGTGAGCAGCAGCATCAGCAGCTACATTTCGTCTATTGACTGGAATGTTGACATCATCATTATCGTCGTCATTATCTTCAATTTGAAGTACCCCTACCTCGTCAAGAATCTCTTGATTAATCTCGTCATTTAAATTAACGCAAATATTGTGGAGAACACAGCAAGCGAGTATTATTAAAGCTCCGTATTCAACATTTTGTAGATATAAATGTTTTAATCTACGAAAACGTCCTTTTAATAATGCGAATGCCCTTTCAATCACCATTCTATGTCTCGAGTGGATGAAGTTGTAGTTTACTTCAATTGGAGTCAAATTTCCACGGTTTTTATAAGGCGTCATTAAATAAAACTTGAGTCCATATGCCTTATCTCCTATGATATGGGTATCTTCTGGAAAAAATCTTCCTGGATTTGCTTCTACAGTTGTTCTTATGTCGCTTAACGCCCAAACGCGAGAGTCGTGAACACTGCCACAGAGTCCAGTAAAGACGTCGATAAATTTCATATCGATGTCACAAATCCCCTGTACTAATAATGAATGAAATCCTTTTCTATTAATATAGCTGACTGAATTCTCTGAAGGAGCGGTGATTTCGATGTGAGAGCCGTCTATTGCACCAATTATATTTGGAAATCCGCCGATGTTTCTGAATTCTTCAGTTAATCTTCTCACGGCATTTGCTCCAGGCCATCGGATATAATTTCTTGCCCTCTGGTTCAATGCTTCGGCCACTCTGATGGTGATTCTCCAGGCCGTATTTATTGATACACCAAAGCGATCGGCTACAGACCTGTTAGAATTAATGTTATCATTTATTGAAAATTTGATGTTTTATTTCCAATCCAACATTAACTAGAAATTTTTCTAATTGGAATGAATTTTTGAGATACGAAATGACTGTTTAAAAAAAAAAATTATTCTCACCAACGTCCACTACTTTTTACATATTTGTTGTAATAAGCTAATATTTCTTATATTTTTTACTCTCATACCAGGCAAAACTTTACCAAATAAGTTGAAAGTCAAAAAAATTTACCGAAAGTCGTGTGCACTAGGAAATAATGCATCACTTATTATTCTTAAAGCTTGAAAAATAAAAAACCTATAAACTTCTTGATTGCATAAAATCCATAAGGCAATGCACAATTGCTTTTGTGGATCTGTAGCTTGTGGTCCACCGTTGTTTCCCAATAATAGTGGAGCGAAAGTTTCTGCCAGTCTAGCGAACGTGGTTCTCGTCATTCGAAAGTGTGATTTGAAATCTGTAAAAATTAATTATTTTATAGAATAAGAAGATTATTAGTTAAATTTATATTCTTTATTATTTATCATTATTTTCAGGGTATCTAGCGACTCGGGAAAACTCCTGGAATATTTTTTTAAATTCGGTAATTTTCAATTTTTAAGGTATTTTTGCTATTACTTGAAAATTATAATTTTTTAAACTCTTTTCGATCCTTCCTTTAAAAATGAAATATATTTTCGATTTTTTTTTCAAAAATTTTATTTTTTGGAAATTTTTTTACTCTATTCGGAAGAATAAGAAGAAGCCTTTTGAAAACAAATGTTTTTTCAATTTATTTTTATCTAGTTAAAAAAATTACAATGTATTGAACTCTATTATTTTAATTTAAAATTGTCCGGGAGGATTACTTAAAAAACCGGCAAAAGCCCGGGAATTTAGAACTGCTAAATTGATAGACACCCTGATTTTGTACTTTTAATTTATGCTTTTTTATAATTAGAAATCAATATATTGTGTGAATTTTGAAAAAATTTTACTTTCTTAAGATAAAATTATTAAAGTAGTCTAGAATTTTAATTTCAATTATTTAAAGTAAATTTAGGTCGAAAATAATGAAAAAATTATTTATCAAAGAAAATGATTATACATCGTTTATATTTTGATCATAAAATTTCTATAATACTATTATTTTGTTTACAATAGGGATATTTGTGACAATTTGTTTTCTTCAAAATGTATACAATTATATTTTCATTTGAAACAAACTTCCAAATATCGCTGTACTTTGTTAATAAATATGTTAATTATTTTTATATATTTATAAAATGAAATATTTATTCATTGGTTGAAATATTTTTTGTACGATTTTATAACAATTTTTTTTATTTAAAAACAAAATACAAATTAATAATCCATATAGATTATTTATTTAAGAAAGTAAAAGTTATTAATAAATAAAGAAAATAAAATTAATTTCAAAAAGAGCATAAATGTTAAATGAGAGAATTTTAAATTTATCTTTAATTTAAGAACTATAATTAAATACACATACCTGACAACGGATAAAGAGGAATTACTTCCTCAAAATAACCATGTATTTTAGGATGCTCCTGTCTTGCCCCTTGCAGTATAATTTCATGTGCATGATCAATGTCATCATCGTCTAATAAAATGTCAATTGCACTAATGATAAGTCCTGGATTCACTAAAACATGATTTTCTTCCATAATTTGAAATCTTAAACTGATTAATAGTATCACAGAAACACAGCACGTTTAGACCACAAAAGAAAGATAGTTTAATAACACGAATACAAATTAATAATAATAGTATTACACATTCTCACCGAAAGACATATACAGTCACCAAATGAAGTCAGACTTTTTTTGCTCTTCGAATTGTTGTTTAACAAAACATATACGTTCACCCTATCAAGTATCAATTTTTTTGCTCTTCGAATTATTGTTTAACACAACATATACAGTCGCCCTATGACCTCTGAATTTTTTAGGACCTCGAATTATTGTTTAACAAGACATATACAGTCACCCTAGTGACTAGTCGAACGATTTCTTTGAAAACTCATTTTCTTTATATTAATATAAAAAATTGTTTTAATATTTTTTTTAATATTTATGTTCTAATTGATAGAAATTAGCCATAATTAATTAATATTGATGTTGAAAAACTTTTATTTTCAAAATTGAGTGAATCGAAGAACAAGTCGAAGGCCTGTTCGAAGACTAGTCGAACGATTTCTTCGAAAACTCATTTTCTTTATATTAATATAAAAAATTGTTTTAATATTTTTTTTTAATTATTTATGCTCTAATTGATAGAAAATAGCCATAATTAATTAATATTGATGTTTAAAAGCTTTTATTTTCAATATTGAGTGAACAGAAGAATAAGTCGAAGGCCTGTTCGAAGACTAGTCGAACGATTTTTTCGAAAACTCGTTTTCTTTATATTATTATAAAAAATGTTTTTAATATTATTCTTTTAATTATTTATGCTCCAATTGATAGAAAATAGCCATAATTTATTAATATTGATGTTTAAAAGCTTTTATATTAAATATTGAGTGAACCGAAGAACAAGTCGAAGGCCTGTTCGAAGACTAGTCGAACGATTTCTTCGAAAACTCATTTTCTTTATATTAATATAAAAAATTGTTTTAATATTTTTTTTTAATTATTTATGCTCTAATTGATAGAAAATAGCCATAATTAATTAATATTGATGTTTAAAAGCTTTTATTTTCAATATTGAGTGAACCGAAGAACAAGTCGAAGTCCTGTTCGAAGACTAGTCGAACGATTTTTTCGAAAACTCGTTTTCTTTATATTATTATAAAAAATGTTTTTAATATTATTCTTTTAATTATTTATGCTCCAAATGATAGAAAATAGCCATAATTAATTAATATTGATGTTTAAAAGCTTTTATATTAAATATTGAGTGAACCCAAGAACAAGTCGAAGGCCTGTTCGAAGACTAGTCGAACGATTTCTTCGAAAACTCATTTTCTTTATATTAATATAAAAAATTGTTTTAATTTTTTTTTTTAATTATTTATGCTCTAATTGATAGAAAATAGCCATAATTAATTAATATTGATGTTTAAAAGCTTTTATATTAAATATTGAGTGAACCGAAGAACAAGTCGAAGGCCTGTTCGAAGACTAGTCGAACGATTTCTTCGAAAACTCATTTTCTTTATATTAATATAAAAAATTGTTTTAATATTTTTTTTTAATTATTTATGCTCCAATTGATAGAAAATAGCCATAATTAATTAATATTCATGTTTAAAAGCTTTTATATTAAATATTGAGTGAACCGAAGAACAAGTCGAAGGCCTGTTCGAAGACTAGTTGAACGATTTCTTCGAAAACTCATTTTCTTTATATTAATATAAAAAATTGTTTTAATATTTTTTTTTAATTATTTATGTTCTAATTGATAGAAATTAGCCATAATTAATTAATATTGATGTTGAAAAACTTTTATTTTCAAAATTGAGTGAATCGAAGAACAAGTCGAAGGCCTGTTCGAAGACTAGTCGAACGATTTCTTCGAAAACTCATTTTCTTTATATTAATATAAAAAATTGTTTTAATATTTTTTTTTAATTATTTATGCTCTAATTGATAGAAAATAGCCATAATTAATTAATATTGATGTTTAAAAGCTTTTATTTTCAATATTGAGTGAACCGAAGAACAAGTCGAAGGCCTGTTCGAAGACTAGTCGAACGATTTTTTCGAAAACTCGTTTTCTTTATATTATTATAAAAAATGTTTTTAATATTATTCTTTTAATTATTTATGCTCCAATTGATAGAAAATAGCCATAATTAATTAATATTGATGTTTAAAAGCTTTTATATTAAATATTGAGTGAACCCAAGAACAAGTCGAAGGCCTGTTCGAAGACTAGTCGAACGATTTCTTCGAAAACTCATTTTCTTTATATTAATATAAAAAATTGTTTTAATATTTTTTTTTAATTATTTATGCTCTAATTGATAGAAAATAGCCATAATTAATTAATATTGATGTTTAAAAGCTTTTATATTAAATATTGAGTGAACCGAAGAACAAGTCGAAGGCCTGTTCGAAGACTAGTCGAACGATTTCTTCGAAAACTCATTTTCTTTATATTAATATAAAAAATTGTTTTAATATTTTTTTTTAATTATTTATGCTCTAATTGATAGAAAATAGCCATAATTAATTAATATTGATGTTTAAAAGCTTTTATTTTCAATATTGAGTGAACCGAAGAACAAGTCGAAGGCCTGTTCGAAGACTAGTCGAACGATTTTTTCGAAAACTCGTTTTCTTTATATTATTATAAAAAATGTTTTTAATATTATTCTTTTAATTATTTATGCTCCAATTGATAGAAAATAGCCATAATTAATTAATATTGATGTTTAAAAGCTTTTATATTAAATATTGAGTGAACCGAAGAACAAGTCGAAAGCCTGTTCGAAGACTAGTCGAACGATTTCTTCGAAAACTCATTTTCTTTATATTAATATAAAAAATTGTTTTAATATTTTTTTTTAATTATTTATGCTCTAATTGATAGAAAATAGCCATAATTAATTAATATTGATGTTTAAAAGCTTTTATTTTCAATATTGAGTGAACCGAAGAACAAGTCGAAGGCCTGTTCGAAGACTAGTCGAACGATTTTTTCGAAAACTCGTTTTCTTTATATTATTATAAAAAATGTTTTTAATATTATTCTTTTAATTATTTATGCTCCAATTGATAGAAAATAGCCATAATTAATTAATATTGATGTTTAAAAGCTTTTATATTAAATATTGAGTGAACCGAAGAACAAGTCGAAGGCCTGTTCGAAGACTAGTTGAACAATTTCTTCAAAAACTCATTTTCTTTATATTAATATAAAAAATTGTTTTAATATTTTTTTTTAATTATTTATGCTCTAATTGATAGAAATTAGCCATAATTAATTAATATTGATGTTGAAAAACTTTTATTTTCAAAATTGAGTGAATCGAAGAACAAGTCGAAGGCCTGTTCAAAGACTAGTCGAACGATTTCTTCGAAAACTCATTTTCTTTATATTAATATAAAAAATTGTTTTAATATTTTTTTTTAATTATTTATGCTCTAATTGATAGAAATTAGCCATAATTAATTAATATTGATGTTGAAAGACCTTTATTTTCAAAATTGAGTGAATCGAAGAACAAGTCGAAGGCCTGTTCGAAGACTAGTCGAACGATTTCTTCGAAAACTCATTTTCTTTATATTAATATAAAAAATTGTTTTAATATTTTTTTTTAATTATTTATGCTCTAATTGATAGAAAATAGCCATAATTAATTAATATTGATGTTTAAAAGCTTTTATTTTCAATATTGAGTGAACCGAAGAACAAGTCGAAGGCCTGTTCGAAGACTAGTCGAACGATTTCTTCGAAAACTCATTTTCTTTATATTAACTAGCGTCATATCCTCTCTCGCTAACGCTCGCTCGGTTGAAATTGTACTCATTATTATTTACTTATTTCAGTTCATTCATATGTATTTACTCTATTTTTTAAATTAATATTATAATAAATTTATTATTAATTTTAAGTTTTATATTTTTAAGAAATCTTTAATACTTTTCATAAATAAATAATCTATTTTTATCAATATAATGATTTGTGTTTTGTTCTACCTTAGTTTTTTTTATGACTATAAAACGGTTGAAATATAACAAATTTTAAAAATTTTATTTCCTATTACAATTTCGATGAAAGTTCAAAATGAAAATAGACATAAAATATGAACTACTTTTACAGAGGAAAGAAATATATTAAAAAGAAGTTATAATGCAATTCGCATGGGATATCAAGTACCTCGAATATCGCAAAATCGAAATTATTAGATATCAAAAATATAAATTTAATTAACGATAACTTTAAAAAAAATAAATATTTTTTGATGAGATTTGAAATTGGGATGCATTTTACATGTGAATTACTGAAAAATAACAAAAAGTTGCAAAATTTGCAAAAAAATATTTTTTGCAAAAAGTTGCAAAAAAAAAAAATTCAGATTTTTTTCTAATTCATATGTTTAATTTATGTTTAAATTCTAATTTTGAATCATATCTGAACAAAAATTGTTGAAAAAGAATGTGAAAAACGAAAGTTCTTGGCCCAGTGACGTCACGAAGACGACAAAACCAACATTTTAATATAATAGAAGATTTGTGAAAAATTTTGAAATAACGATAACTTTAAAAAAAATAAATATTTTTTGATGAGATTTGAAATTGGGATGCATTTTACATGTGAATTACTGAAAAATAACAAAAAGTTGCAAAATTTGCAAAAAAATATTTTTTGCAAAAAGTTGCAAAAAAAAAAAATTCAGATTTTTTTCTAATTCATATGTTTAATTTATGTTTAAATTCTAATTTTGAATCGTATCTGAACAAAAATTGTTGAAAAAGAATGTGAAAAACGAAAATTCTTGGCCCAGTGACGTCACGAAGACGACAAAACAAACATTTTAATATAATAGAAGATTTGTGAAAAATTTTGAAATAACGATAACTTTAAAAAAAATAAATATTTTTTGATGAGATTTGAAATTGGGATGCATTTTACATGTGAATTACTGAAAAATAACAAAAAGTTGCAAAATTTGCAAAAAAATATTTTTTGCAAAAAGTTGCAAAAAAAAAAAATT